TGTGTTTTCCTCTAAGAGTTTTATAGTGTCTGCCCTTACATTTAGGTCTTTAATCCATTTTGAGTTTATTTTTGTGTGTGGTGTTAGGGAGTGTTCTAATTTAATTCTTTTACTTGTAGCTGTGCAGTTTTCCTAGCTCCACTCCTTGAAGAGGCTGTCTTTCCTCCATTGTATATTCTCGCCTCTTTTTTCAAAGATAAGGTGACCATATGTGTGTGGGTTTATCTATGGGCTTTCGATCCGGTTCCATTGATCTGTATTTCTGTTTTTGTGCCAGTACCATACTGTCTTGATGACTGTAGCTTTGTAGCATAGTCTGAAGTCCGGGAACCTGATTCCTCCAGCTCCATTTTTCTTTGTCAAGATTGCTTTGGCTATTTGGGGTCTTTTGTGTTTCCATACAAATTGTGAAATGTTTTGTTCTAGCTCTGTGAAAAATGCCGTTGGTAGTTTGATAGGAATTGCATTGAATCTGTAGATTGCTTTGGGTAGTGTATTTTCACAATGTTGATTCTTCCAAACCAAGAACATGATATATCTCTCCATCTGTTTGTATCATCTTCATTTCTTTCATCAGTGTCTTATATAGTTTTCTGCATACAGAAATATATAGTTTTCTGCATACAGGTCTTTTGTCTCCTTAGGTAGGTTTATTCCTAGGTATTTTATTCTTTTTGCTGCAATGGTAAATGGGAGTGTTTCCTTCATTTCTCTTTCACATTTTTCAACATTACTGTATAGGAATGCAAGAGATTTCTGTGCATTAATTTAGTATCCTACTACTTTACCAAATTCATTGATTAGCTCTAGTAGTTTTCTAGTAGCATCTTTTGGATTATCTATGTATAGTATCATGTCATCTTCAAACAGTGACACCTTTACTTCTTCTTTTCCGATTTTGATTCCTTTTGTTTCTTTATCTTCTCTGATTGCTGTGGCTAAAACTTCCAAAACTATGTTGAATAATAGTGGTAAGAGTGAACAACCTTGTCTTGTTCCTGATCTTACAGGAAATGGTTTCAGTTTTTCACCATTAAGAATGACGTTGGCTGTAGGTTTGTCATATATGGCCTTTATTATGTTGAGGTAAGTTCCTTTTACGCCTACTTTCTGGAGGGTTTTTATCATAAATGGGTGTTGAATTTTGTCAAAAGCTTTTTCTTAATCTATTGAGATGATCATATGATGTTTATCCTTCAGTTTGTTAATATGGTGTATCATTGCTTGATTTGTATATATTGAAGAATGCTTGCATTCCTGGGATAAACCCCACTTGATCATGGTGTACGATCCTTTTAATGTGCTGTGGGATTCTGTTTACTAGTATTTTGTTGAGGATTTTTGCATCTATGTTCATCAGTGATATTGGCCTGTAGTTTTCTTTCTTTGTGACATCTTTGTCTGGTTTTGATATCAGGGTGATGGTGGCCTCGTAGAGTGAGTTTGGGAGTGTTTCTCCGTCTGCTATCTTTTCGAAGACTTTGAGAACGATAGGTGTTAGCTCTTCTCTAAATGTTTGATAGAATTCGCCTGTGAAGCCATCTGGTCCTGGGCTTCCGTTTGTTGGAAGATTTTTAGTCACAGTCTCAATTTCAGTGCTTGTGATTCGTCTGTTTCTATTTTCTATTTCTTCCTGGTTCAGTCTCAGAAGGTTGTGCTTTTCTAAGAATGTGTCCATTTCTTCCAGGTTGTCCATTTTATTGAAATATAGTTGCTTGTAGTAATCTCTCATGATCCTTTGTATTTCTGCAGTGTCAGTTTTTACTTCTCCTTTTTCATTTCTAATTTTGTTGATTTAAGTCTTCACCCTCTTTTTCTTGATGAGTCTGGCTAATGGTTTATCAATTTTGTTTGTCTTCTCAAGTAACCAGCTTTTAGTTTTATTGATCTTTGCTATTGTTTTCTTTGTTTCGATTTCATTTATTTCTGCTCTGATTTTATGATTTCTTCCCTTCTACTAAGTTTGGGTTTTGTTTGTTCTTTCCCTTGTTCCTTTAGGTGTAAGGTTAGGTTGTTTATTTGAGATGTTTCTTGTTTCTTGAGGTAGGATTGTATTGCTATAAACTTCCTTCTTTGAACTGTTTTTGCTGCATCCCATAGATTTTGGGTTGTCACGTTTTCATTGTCTTTTGTTTCTAGGTATTTTTTTATTTCCTCTTTGATTTCTTCAGTGATCTCTTGGTTATTTAGTAGTGTATTGTTTAGCTTTTATGTGTTTGTATATTTACTGATTTTTTCCTCTAATGGGTTTCCTCATAGCGTTGTGGTCGAAAATATACTTGATACGATTTCAATTTTCTTAAATTTACCAAGGCTTGATTTGTGACCCATGATATGATCTATCCTGGAGAATGTTCCATGAGCACTTGAGAAGAAAGTGGATTCTGTTGTTTTTGTATGGAATGTCCTATAAATATCAATTAAGTCCATCTTGTTTAGTGTATCATTTAAAGCTTGTGTTTCCTTATTTATTTTCATTGTGGATGATGTGTGCATTGGTGAAAGTGGGGTGTTAAAGTCCCCTTCTATGAATGTGTTACTGTCAATTTCGCCTTTTATGGCTGTTCGCATTTGCCTATGTATTGAGGTGCTCCTATGTTGGGTGCATAAATATTTACAATTGTATATCTTCTTCTTAGATTGATCCCTTGATCATTATGTAGTGTCCTTCTTTGTCTCTTGTAATAGTCTTTATTTTAAAGTCTATTTTGTCTGATATGAGAATTGCTACTCCAGATTTATTTTGATTTCCATTTGCATGGAATATCTGTTTCCATCCCCTCACTTTCAGTCTGTATGTGTCCCTAGGTCTGAAGTGGGTCTCTTGTAGACAGCATATATACAGGTGTTGTCTTTTTATCCATTCAGCCACTCTATGTCTTTTGGTTGGAGCATTTAATCCATTTACATTTAAGGTGGTTATTGATATGTATGTTCCTATTACCATTTTCTTAATTGTTTTGTGTTTGTTATTGTAGATATTTCCTTCTCCTGCGTTTCCTGTCTAGGGAAGTTCCTTTAGCATTTGTTGTAAAGCTGGTTTGGTGGTGCTGAATTCTCTTAGCTTTTGCTTGTCTGTAAAGGTTTTAATTTCTCCGTCAAATCTGAACGAGATCCTTGCTGGGTAGAGTAGTGTTGATTGTAGGTTTTTCCTTTCATCACTTTAAATATGTCCTGTCACTCCCTTCTGGCTTGCAGAGCTTCTGCTGAAAGATCAGCTGTTAACCTCATGAGGACTCCCTTGTATATTATTTGTTGTTTTTCCCTTGCTGCTTTTAATATTTTTTCTTTGTATTTAATTTCTGATAGTTTGATTAATATGTGTCTTGGCATGTTTCTCCTTGGATTTATCCGGAATAGGACTCTCAGCGCTTCCTGGACTTTATTGACTATTTCTTTTCCCATATTAGTGAAGTGTTCAACTATAATCTCTTCAAATATTTACTCAGTCCCTTTCTTTTTCTCTTCTTCCTCTGGGACCCCTGTATTTTGAATATTGGTGTGTTTAATGTTGTCCCAGTGGTTTCTGAGACTGTCCTCAATTCTTTTCATTCTTTTTTCTTTATTCTGATCTGCAGTAGTTATTTCCACTATTTTTTCTTCCAGATCACTTATCCGTTCTTCTGCCTCAGTTATTCTGTTATTGATTCCTTCTAGAGAATTTTTAATTTCATGTATTGTGTTGTTCATCATTGTTTATTTGCTCTTTAGTTCTTCTAGGTCCTTGTTAAACGTTTCTTGTATTTTCTGAATTCTGTTTCCAAGATTTTGGATCATCTTTAGTATCTTTACTCTGAATTCTTTTTCAGGTAGACTGCCTATTTCCTCTTCATTTGTTTGGTCTGGTGGGTTTTTACCTTGCTCCTTCATCTGCTGTGTGTTTCTCTGTCTTCTCATTTTGCTTATCTTACTGTGTTTGGGGTCTCCTTTTCACAGGCTGCAGGTTCTTAGTTCCCATTGTTTTTGGTGTCTGCCCCCAGTATCTAAGGTAGGTTCAGTGGGTTGTGTAGGCTTCCTGGTGGAGGGGACTGGTGCCTGTGTTCTGGTGCATAAGGCTGGATGTTGTTTTTCTGGTGGGCAGGACCACATCCGGTGATGTGTTTTGGGGTGTCTCTGACCTTACTATGATTTTAGGCAGCCTCTCTGCTAATGGATGGGGTTGTGTTCCTGTCTTGCTAGGTGTTTGGCATAGGGTGTCCAGCACTGTAGCTTGCTGGTCCTTGAGTGGATCTGGGTCTTAGCATTGAGATGGAGATCTCTGGGAGAGCTTTCACTGTTTGATATTACATGGAGCCAAGAGGTCTTTGGTGGACCAATGTCCTGATCTCAGCTCTCCCACCTCAGAGACACAGTCCTGCCACCTGGCTGGAGCACAAAGACCCTTTTGGGAAGTCTGCGGTCTTCTGCCAGCATTCAGTAGGTGTTCTGTAGGAGTTGTTTCACACATAGATGTATTTCTGATGTATTTGTGGGGAGGAAGGTGATCTCCATGTCTTTCTCCTCTGCCATCTTGAAGACCTCTCCTTACCTACTGTTTTTAGTTCTAGTTTTATCATGAATTCATCTGTAGTTAGACTTCTATTTTGAGCACAATTCAATAATTCATCCTCTAATGCTATTTCATACCTAGTTCAGTTTAATTTTTTAGGTAGTTGTAATTAAGACTGTAAATTCTTTAAAGGGGGGGTCCTGCTTTCCATTTTCTGTGTGCTCTAAGTAGAAATCATGAAAATGATACTCGCAACAATCTATTATACTTTTACCTCATTACAGCCGTCCTCTAGGGTTGGATTATTATACCATTTAATAAATGAAGAAGCTGAAACTCACATAGGTGATAGTTGCAGAGCCACAATTCAAATTTAGATCATGTCACTGCAAATCCAGTTCTCTTAACCACTATGATAAATTTCTAAACTACATATCATAGTGCCTTGTGTAATAATCACCATTAAAGGCTTATTATTTTGAAAGTCTTGTTTGGTTCTTCTCCTTTCCAGATGGACCCCCATGAGAACATATTACTGAGCACTCTTGAGATAAAAAATGAAATGGCCACTTCCGAGGCTGTGCTGGGACTTGGAGACCCCAGGAGCACAATGCTGGCCTGCGATGCCTCCAGCATCCAGTATCGGAAAGCCGGGTTACCCAGGCATAGTTTTGGCCGAAATGCCCTGGAACGGCACGTGGCACAGAAGAAAAGCCGCCTGCGGAGACGCGCCTCCCAACTGAAAATCACCATCCCCGACTTGACTGATGTGAATGCCATAGATCGGTGGTCCCGCATATTCTTCCCCGTGGTTTTTTCCTTCTTCAACATCGTCTATTGGCTTTACTATGTGAACTAAAACATAGCCTCCCATGGGAAGCAAGGACTAGATCCCTCCTCAAACCAGTTGTACAGCCTGACGTAGAACTTGGAAAACACATCACTCCAGGACAAAAGTGATGCTAAAATACCTTAGTTGCTGGCCTATCCTGTGGTCCATTTCATACCATTTGGGTTGCTTCTGCTAAGTCATGAATACACTAAGGTCCCTGTGGTTTTCCAGTTAAAATGCAAGTGATTTGTACACATGCTGGCAAGACTGAATCTGAGTGTCCCACTTTATCTGCTTAGCGCACAGCCTATACGGAGGGCAGTAATTTAGAAGATATTCTGGAAGGGTCAATAGCGTCATCAGTCATTTCGCAGAGAAGCGGTCGTACCCAGATACTCCCCGTCTTCCTTCCTAAGGTTGGCATGCGGTCTGCCGTGCCACGCAAACATGCTAACTGAAGATGGTCTATTCCTGTCTTATTACGGTGATAATGGTGCCATGGGAAGTTAATTCCCACTGGATTGTAGAAGGTTCTCATGTAGTTCAAACAGGATAGGGAGAGTCAAGACACAGACTCAGGAAACCAGTTTGGCCAGGCTCTGTTTGCTTGAGCATAAGAATCAACTCCAACATCTTCTACTTTGACATTTAGAGAAGAGGAGACTTCTGAATGTTTTCATGCATGGGGCCCAAAGAAATTTTTCTAAGAGGCTATTTCCGAGGTTGTTAAACTAAGAGTTAATAACCCAGAGCAGAGTGGAAAATCCAGAAACAGCTGTTGTAACAAAATTAAAGCAAGTGAGCAGCATGACCCTTATCAGCCCCTTGTAGCATCTGGTCCACACATACTGTGTTCAGTGGCGAAAGGTAGAGTGAGAGAGATTTTTTTCCTCCAACCTCACAAGCTTTTGACAGCATACCTAGAGAGGTTTTTATAGTTTATCTAATAAAAAGACAACCCCCAAATAGAAAAGATAGTGGAATTAGAATCATCTTAGGTTACGCTGGGAGTCATTCCAATATATGAATATAAAGCACAGACAGAGCTAGCAAACAGGATGCTTTTCTCAGACAGTGTCAGCTGTCTCTACAACATTTTCCTACAGTTTATTTCTGAATTTAATAGGTTATTTCAAAGGAAGGATTTGTTCATTTCTTTAGAGGATTAATGGTCTTTTCTAACTTTTCTTGCTTCTGAAATTCTGATTATATTCTTAAGAGACAGACGAAGTAAGGCTTTGGAGAGATTTTGAGAGAACTATGTTTCCTTATGGGCAGTGAAGTTCACCTTTGTATCTTTCATAGCAAATAGTACTTCAAAGATTATGTGCACAAGTAGGGTTACTTTGTAGTTTTGCTGGGTTTGATATTTTTAAGGGCGATTTCATTGTGTATGTTGCAATCTGCCTAATCAAAGAAAATAGGAAAAGTCATGGAAAACAGAATAACATTAACATGGTGAATGTTATGAGCCTCAGTTGATACTGCAGAAAAATATATAACATAATCAGGCAGGCACGATGTACTGTTTTTATTCAATTTTTAAATTATGTGATTGTGCTTCTTTCTATACTAATTGGATATATGCATTCATATGTTGGACAGGCAAGAGAATAAGCTAATATATTTTATTCTGTCAATGTGCGGTTCATATTTTGCCTTTCTCGGAGAAAATAGTGAATTGCTCATTTTTCCTTAGAGTTTGATTTGACTGAACTTTTTCTTGGAGGATGACTTTGCTACTTCTATTTAAAAAATAAACACTTCTTTTCAGAGTAACATCCCTAATTGTGCATAGTAGCCAAGGCCAGTATCTGCCTGTGGATAAAATGTATGTTTTCTTTCCCTGATGATTCAGCAGCTTCAAATATGATGGAGTCTTGCTGCCCTTCTATTCCCACTATTAGAGAAAAAAAAGGTTTAGCATCCAGCTTTCTGAATTTGCCCTCCCAAATGGGATGATATTTTTTTTCACCAGCATAGGGAACTCTGGCCCTTATTTTTTTGATTATACACTTGAACACCTCTGAGTATGATCTTTGGGCAGAATCCAACCTACATGCTGCCCCTGGGCTCAGAGCAGAGATTCCTCAAGTTTCTCCGGGGACACACTTTCCCCTGGGCAATCATTTTGGGACATCACGCTAATAAAAGTGCCTGCCCCTTGTCACTAGGGCTTAAAGTTTGAGTAGCATATATCAGGAAGAAGCATATTGATAACTCAGGTGTACAACTCCAAAATGCCATTCTGGAAAGGTTTTTCTAGAGACAACTCAGAGCTCCAACCTAAAAGTGGGCTCTTAATTGCAATTATCATAAAAGCCATAAAAATCCTTCATATTGCCATTTATGGTTACAACAAAATTTTGATGTCCAGGGAAGTCAACAGAGAAATCTAGATCAAAGTGGACAGAAGCAGCTTTGCAACATGAGCCTCAAAAGCATATGACCAGGGATTCATTTCCGCCTGCAGAGATAAGAAAAATCTAGGGAAAAGGAGAAGATGGGACCTTGAAACAGAAGCCCTAGAGCGAAATCCATATATTGGCATTCAGTAACCATGTAGGTAGAAAAAACTGCCTCATCCTGCCCAGAGATAACAGTAGATATAGAATTTATTCTTAAAGTGTATATTTATTGTGTTTGAATTGGATTTTAGTCACCAAATTGGGGGAGGGCCAGGGAGGGGTGCTAGATCTTTAAGTCTTCAAAAAGACCAGTCAGCTTGATATCCAGTGTTTAAATTTAAGGACCACAAAAGTATGTTTTGGCAATTCTGATATGGTATTACTATCAGTTTATATATATATGTATAGTTTTTCTTTTGGTAATAAAATAGCCAGATAGCCAGCAATTAAGGTGTTTTTCATCTTTGTGAAATTCATAGGCAAATTCTGACTCTAAAATGCACAGTCTAAATGCAATCTTTGATCTCAATCTGTATATATATTGTACATGACTGCTAGTAGGTATGAAATGCATTTTCAGAACTGAAAACTCATGCAACATAATCATGTGTTTGCATAAGGAATGTTACAATTCTTTCTACTGCAATTCAATAATGGGAAAAGACTTAAGCAGTGCCATCTAGACCTTTTCTCATTTCTTCAAAAGCAGTGCTAAGTGAAATAATAATAAAAATGGTTTAGGAACCAAAAGACTTTACATTCTAGCATTAGGAACACAAAAAATCTGTCAGCTTACAAAAGCACAATGCATAGAGAAAGTTCAGTGGAATGCATAATGGGGAAATGAGTCACGTTTATTTTAAGCAAGACCCACATTAAATTGGCAACTAAGACATTTCCATTTTCTATAGGTAACTGTTGTCCAATTTGATGAGTAAAGTCATACTCAATAACAAAAACAGCCAACAAGCAGGTCTACAACATATCTACATGTATATATGTGTATATATAGATCCATGTAAACATACATACATATATATGCATTCATACGTTGAAAAACAAAAGGAATAAGCTAATATGTTTATTTCCTTCATTAAATCAGTGTATGAATATTTTTCATTTGGCAACTGACAAATCAACATATTGAAACAAGTAATACAGGGTACTGAGCATTTCTCTTTCAGCAAATCAATGCCTACAGTTCTTATGAACCACTGCACAGTTTGACACTACAATAGTACTGTACCTCAGAACATAGAAATTAACTAGTTTTCACATTGCTTGTCTATTCTCTTTTTCAAGGAAACAAATAACATTGTCCATTGGTGATTTAAAAAGAAAAATGTCTTAAGAAAACACAAAATGATAAAAAAAAAAAAATTCCTCCTAGGAGGAGGAAAAAAAATAACTAAACCCCACCATGTTGGTTAGGGCAGATATTCTCAACTGTAGCAATCATGCCATTTTGCTGAGTATACAGAGTCCATGTAATGTGAGCAACCATAACTTTCACTGAACGTGTGTAAATATTAAAACAGATTTCTTAAATATTTTTAACTTCTAATTTGTATTTTATGGTAAGGCAACATGCTAATTCTGTTTATGGCTTAAGTTGATGTGTTATTATGTAAATAATTAAACATGCTGTAAATGAATAGTCGATAGATACAAATAATTGTTTAGGTTTTTTTCCCTTAATTTTTATTTATTTTTTTACTAAGTACAGTTGCTGCAGCCCCAGCAGAGAAATTTAAATACCCTTTTGCATAAATGGTTTGGGATCCCAGACAGAAGGGTTTCAATTTGCTATCACACAGACACACACACACACACACACATTCAAACACACGTACTCTTTTACTTGCCCGCTCAGTCATTCCCACTCCTGCCCCCTCTATGGGAAATGCTATAGTGTTTATGTAGTCGATGAAACAACCAAGAGATAGCCTTAGAAATGTCAAATGGGAAAAGCAGAAATGATCATTGATTACTTGATAGAATTTTTTATATGTAAGAGTTTAAGAAATCAAAGATCATAACTTAAATCTCAATTTTCAAAGAGTAAAAGTTTATATTGATGGCACTTCAGGAAATAAAAATGCTTTTTATTCATACCTGCTCCAGAAAATGTGTTACACATAATACATAGAGAAGACCTTTTTTTTAATAATAGCATTTTGTCCTTAGGTGGTATTGTTCCTTTTAACCAAAGACTCCAGAATTATTAAAAAAAAAAAGAAAAGGAAAAAGAAAAAATGAGGGAAAATGGGAAAAAAAGACACTGCTTCACACCAAAGGTTTAAAAAATATTTTCCAAATACACTAGGAACATTGTAAAAAGTAGTAAGGAGCCAACAGAATGCTAATTAAGACACCACACTAAAGAAGTCATTTAAGAAAAAAAAACACTTAAATATCTATTAGTTATTTGCAAATTGAAGTAAAACATTTCTGTAAATCCATAGATGAATGCAAAACACTGACATCGGGTTTTAATTTGCTTCGAGAATTTGTTTTGTGAAAAAGGTAAATGCGATCCAAACTGAAGAACAAATCTTTGTGTTTTTTTAACTTTAAAACCAAATGTCTCTTTCCTGTCACACGTCATTATTCTGATGCCCATATGTGTGTCCTGGCACCATCTGAAGCAAGTTGACAGTTTCATCAGCTTGTATCTTTCTCTTTTTAGTTCAATAATTTGAGTTCAGTGTTCATTTTAAACATATTAATTCAAAGTTGAAAATAATTTAAATTCCATAACATTTTAAAGTTTTTATTTGCATGGGTGTTCAAATAGTTCTGTTATGAATATTGTCCCTGCACAGTTCTGAATTGTCCTTTTATAAAAAGTGATATTCTAGTTTCTTCACAATGTAGTGATTATCAGCCTTACTAATTACCTTGTAGCCTTTCTTAATATGCACATAATGCACATTTTCCAATGGCTAGAAAATGCAAAACACAAGTGGATATCATTGCATTTATTTTCATGTCTTTCTAAAAAACAGGATTACTACAATCTCTGGGATACATGAGATAGTAACAAATGAGGATTATAAATGAGTAGCACATAAGAATTATTTTCTTGGATTTAAACATTACAGCCACTTTCAGCATGTAAATATATAATAATGTTGGCTAGTGTGTAATTCTTGAACTAAGAAGTATAAATAAAACTTAAAACGATGTGTGTATAAGTGGTTTCATTGAGTTCAGAATTTTTTTTGATCTATGAATACGAGTTAGAATGTAGAATTATAACTTTTCTAAAAGGCAATAAAAATTTGGGAACTTGGGATGGGCTCTAGGGCAGCCTTGAGTTTGAGCTCTGATTTGTCACATATTAGGTGTATGATTGTGCAGCTATCTAATCCATCCACCTCTCATTTTTCTTATCTGAAGAAAAAAATATAATTGTACCTCCTTCATAGAGCTGCTGTATAGTTGAAATGAAATAACCCGTAAGAAGTCCTTAGCATGGTACAAACACGTTAAGTGGTTTGTAAACAGTAGATGACAGTAGATGATAGCAACAACAGTAGTATTGTTGCTATTATTAATTATAATCGTTACTAGAATATTCAGCATGTTTTATCACGAATTCTATTATGATACCTAAAACGTCATAGTAATTATTAAATGTTCTCTTAGGTTATATACTTATGGGTAATTAATTAAGAACTTGGCTTCAATCATGAAAATCATATGACAAACGTGATTCATTTAACATTCTACATATATCCTCTGAAGACGTTACACTAAGTACTTTGAGAATTGAATACTTACTTAATCCTTACCATATTCCTAAGAGTAGCAGAAATTCAAGATCGGAAAGAATAAGTACCTTGCCCGTGAGAGTAGAAGAACTTGGATTCCTACCCAGCCTGGACTCACCCACAATTCCTTGCAAATTCTTTCCACCTCATCATTAAAAGTGGGTGACCAGGCATGTTCAGTTCTCATTCATTTTGGTCATTTCCCAAGAAACATTTGCTGAGAGCCTGCCATCTGCCAGACCTTGTAATGCTACTAGAAAATTAGTGCTTAGGCTCACAAGGTCCCTACCCTCTTGGATTATATGGAAGCTCTCAAATGCATGGGAAGTCTCCTGAGGCCAGCGAATTAGTTGGGGACAAGCCTAGTGTCTCTCACTCTTATTGACTTTCGAATGTCCAAATAGCACCTCATAGACTCTGTCCACCTGAGCAAGGCCGACTGTCAGGGCAAAATTGTCCAATGAAGTCATGATTAGAAGGAGCTATAGCTACCAAGGAATGACACTACTGAAAATAACTCACCTATAGTGAAGGCCCAGTTCCTGCCAGCTTACACTGCAAATTGCACATCGTATCATCTAGAAATGTACAGTTCTTCCATTTGCAATCCTTCATGCTAACTTTCTACATTTCTGTCCAGCAGAGAGAACACATGTATGCTCAAATCCATGAACACGTTCACATAACTGGTGGTGCATGCGTGCATGTGTGTGCATGCGTGCATGTGTGTGCGTGTGTGTTCATGAGCCTGTGTGGGCGGGGTATGCTGAGAGGGCCAATAGGAAATGGTACTGTAGGTGGGGTCATGGTCTATTACTTACCTTGGGAGGAGAACATTCCCAGATATTTCCCCCCGAAAAAGCTATTCAATTGGCAATGAGAAAATTCCTCCACTCATATTCTAACTACTATAATATCCTAAAGTGGAACTACCCTTGCTCTCTTCTGAAACTTGTTCTAATTATGAAATATCATATGGCATTTCCCATACAGAATATTTTTCTAAACCTTTAGATCCACCTCCCAGAATAATACCAGTTTAGTGAGAAAAATTCTCAGGGATGGCAGGAGACACAATCAGTCCACAGTCCTTGATTTCCTAAAGCAGACAGCAACAAAATAAACACATTCTTGTCTCTTCAAATCTCTGTATCAGAGCATTAGCCAAATGTGCACATTACCCACTACAGCATCACCCCACCACATAGCCTAGAACCAAAGAATGATCATGGGATGACAAGTTGCAGACAAGCCGCAAACGATTAGGCTTCTTAGGTGGTCTTCTTATCAATATCTTGATTTGTGCATGTTCTGATCTTTCCTTTTGTTTCAGGTAGCCAACTAGGTTATTAGTATTTATATATATATATATATATATATATATATATATATCTTTTCATTTCAGAGATTTGTATTGGATAGAAAGGAGACACTGCTGGAAGATACTCAGGGATGATGCTTAGCACCCCACAAGTACTGAGGCACATGAGTGTCTTTCAGGGTAAGGAGAGAGGGAGGGATGCTTTCTCTGAGACTGGGAAGGAGAAAAGCAGCAGGTTCCAGGCAAGTGGAGACCTGCATACCATTCAGCGGTAGTGACCTGGGGAAATGGCAGACCTCGGAGCAGATGGCACAATGAAGCTTAGGAAGCCAGCCCGTGGCACTGGCCCAGGTGTGCCGCTAGAGTGGCAGTGTTTGACCCATGAAAGAATCAAACAGGCTGGAACATGGAGTAGGAAAGAAATGTGGTTTTTTTTTTTCCTCTACAGCTTCATTTAAGATGTTAGATTCATCACTGCACTCCCATCTGTGACCTAGTGGGTCCTTGGTCACTCCACCTCGGAAAGTGCTGAGACTCAAAAGCATGAATTTGATATTGGATCAGTAATACAGTATTTCTAGTAATAGAAGTCCAAAGTGGGTGGGGAATAATTGGTTCCAGTTCTGAAGGTCAAAAGGCTAATGAGATACAAAATTTAGTTAAAGGATTGATATATCTTGGAAGCTCAAATGTGGACACAGGGCTTAATGAAATTGTAGACAAATAACACAGGCCTGGTGTAATACATAGGGAGTGGTGGGGACTGTGGGTAACTGGGGAGAAACAAGCTCTATCTAAAGAGGCGGTCACTACTGAGCACCATCCAGTTGTTGTCTTGAGGAATTGCAAGCCCAGTGATGCCAGATTAATCTGAGAATGCAAGAAGCCCCCACGGCACTGAATCTTTTACTTTATGGGCAGGTACAGTAAGGCCAGAGAGACACAGAAACTTTCATCTTTCTTGTGCCAAAAATCCATGCTGAGGTTTTAGAGTCGTAATCCTCAAACCGAGATTGAGGAAGGAGCATATGACAAGCTCCATGAGAGTGTGTGTAGAGTGAACAAGCTTCTATGCCATTATAGTGGTGGAATGATCAGTTTTCTTCCCTTTCCTGGAAGCTGACACCTTATAAAGGTAAGAAAGTAAAATACTTCCGTGTACTCTCAAAACAAAAAATAGAGAAACTTTTTTAGTAGAAATAGGTACAGAAAATTGCCAGCAGAAGTTTTCACAATGTAAACAGTCTGGTTGGCTTTTAGATCACTCACTCGGAGGGCTTTTGTCTCTCTCCTGCCGGTAGAGCAGAAGCCCCTTACTCTCCTACAACACCTCCTGGGCCCACTCAGCAGGCACATGGCCCTGACGGAGAATAAGACAGAGCCACCAGAGCAAGGATTTGGGAGAGGAGCAAAGAATCCTGAAGGGGCAGAGAACTGCTGGGAGAGCACCCAAGGGAGAAAAGGGAGGCGAGGGTGGAGGCTCTGGGGCACTTTGTCACTGATGGGGTGGAGGGGGGTCATGAGCCCTAAGATTCTCCACTATGTCAACTCTGGGGATGAAGCATGGGCACAAATTCAGTGGGCAAGGGAAGCTACCCACACATTTCCACCTCCCCAAAGACCCTGTGTAGACTGGAATTTAGTGAATGAACCTGAAAGTGAAGAACTAATAAAAAGGTCCCGCTTTCCACCGCTCTCATCTCCGTGACGCCCCCCGCGGTGAGGCGTTGGTGATCCCTCAGCACCCCGAGTCCTGCTGACCCATCCTCCTTCGGCTAGAAACCCTCCTCCTGGTACCGCGCGGGAGGTGTGGGGCCTCTGAGTGGAGCGGCGAGTCCGCCAGCTCCGGTCTCTTTCCCTGGTGGCGCCGGCTTCTTCCGTAGGACAATATGTTCAAGAGAATGGCAGAATCTGGGCCTGACTCCGGCGGGGGAGTGAAGGGGGTTACTACTGTTAAACCAATCATTTATGGTAATGTTGCTCGATATTTTGGAAAGAAAAGAGAAGAGGATGGGCACACCCATCAGTGGACAGTATATGTAAAACCATATCGAAATGAGGATATGTCAGCATATGTGAAGAAAATCCAATTTAAATTACATGAAAGCTATGGCAATCCTTTAAGAGTTGTTACTAAGCCTCCATATGAAATTACTGAAGCAGGCTGGGGTGAAATCGAAATAGTCATCAAAATATTTTTCATTGATCCTAATGAAAGACCTGTAACACTATATCATTTATTAAAGCTATTTCAATCAGACACCAATGCAATGCTGGGAAAAAAGACAGTGGTTTCAGAGCTCTATGATGAAATGATATTTCAAGACACAACAGCGATGATACAACAATTATTAACATCTCGTCAGCTTACCTTAGGATCCTATAAGCATGAAACAGAATTTGCAGAACTTGAAGTGAAAACCAGAGAAAAATTAGAAGCTGCGGAAAAAAAAAAACAAGCTTTGAAATTGCAGATCTTAAGGAGAGATTAAAAGCAAGTCGTGAAACTATAAATTGTTTAAAAAATGAAATCAGGAAACTCGAAGAAGATGATCAGACAAAAGAAATATAAACGGGTCTGAAGAGAACTCGATAGTAAGTAAAACTAAAATAAGGTGGAGTTTAAAGGAGAGATGGACTACAAATGCTGCAATGTTTCTTAGAGGAACTGCACATATAGTTGTCAACCATAGATTTCTCAACAATGGGGTCAAATCTTTAATGTGAAATATATGTGTATAATGCTGTATAGGCATTTTATCAACCCATTTCAGGGTAGTTCTGTGATATTAAGCACAATTTTAAAACATTTTTATTGCATTGTATGTATAGCTTATCCTTTTGACAGACATCAAAATTTCATTATAAAGTATAATTTGTACAAATTTTGTACTTCCCTAGTTAGAATTTGTGGTAAAATTAATGTGTATATTTAATTTCTTAAGTTCTTACCTGCCCCCATCCCAACTCTTTTGTATCTGATGTGCCCAGTGCCCAGTAAGCACAATAAATGTAGTTTACAGATGATTAAAAAAAAAAAAAAAGAACTAGTAAAAGAAAGTATCCAGAAATTGCTGAGATGAAGCCACAGTGGTTG